GGAAAATTGATGAAATTGGAAAATTGATGAAATTGGAAAATTGCAAAAACTCACCTTTTGATCTCCTGTAAGCTGTCTAAGCCGTCCGATCGCCGCACCTTCGCGACGTACGCCTCCAACCGTCGTATAAATGGCAATACTAGCCATAAATAATGGACCACAAGCTCACCGACTTCCCGGGGTAAATAGCGATGAATCACCTTCGTATCATTGGATGCGTAAAACCCCTTGTGGTATTGTGAGACGAAGGTAACGAGCCCGTCCTCAATGAATATATTGCGACGGCCCCCGCTGTCGGTGTTGCAATGCCGAATGCTTAATAGCTCCGGGGCGCGAGCCGGCTGGCCACCACTGACATGAATAGCAATAGCAAGCTTCTCACGGAAATGCGCTACCCGTTGAAGGTATACGTCAATTGCTGCCATACGTAGCCGACCAGCACTACTCTCAATGAATCGCTGCCGTACGGGGCCGTGCTGCCGGACCCGAGAGATTAGCCATTGCTCACCGACCACCGGCCATGGCGTACGGGTGTCTTTTAAAAAATTCCACCCGTCGGCTGTCTCCGTGGGATCGTCGTAAATTGCCTGCCATGGAATAGCTGGAACGGACCCATTTTCGACGAATAATAGCTCATTGTGGAGAATTTGGCGTGCCGAGGTCGTAAGCCCGTGGATGAACCCACGGAAGTCACCTATCGAGAAATTGAATTGCTGGTAAAGTAGCTGGTCCTGATTCATCCAGCCGACGTGGCCCGTAGTGGTGCTATTGTAATGGATCTTTAAGCCGTACGTCCGTAGATCTAATAGCCATTGAATTGGACTATTAGTTCCACGGACCATGAATTGGCTTACCATCTCAGCCACCCACTCTCGAAATGATCGCTGGGTCTGCCGAGCCTGGGTAAATTGAATGAATTGCGATGACTGCGTCGGTGGCAGAACTGGGCCATTTTCAAAATTGAAAAATGGATCATCTGATGTCTGAAATTCAGGTGAATCGAGTGGACTCTCGGTATCCCAATCCCCTGCCATTTGATGCTCCGCTAGCTGATATAGCATTGCCTCAGCCGTGGAATCCAATTTCAATGCCTTGTGGACTACCATGAATCGTGCAATTTTAATAAGCTTCGATAAAATCGGAGGATAGCTCTCTGCCGTACGCCAGCCTGTCTCACCCCGACCGAGCACTGCCGTGGCACAAATCAGCGCGCTCTCATAGTCCTCGACCTTAATTCGATGATTCAAAAGCTCAATACAAAAATTGAGACACGCTAGATCAATGGGAGCTAGCTGAAACGGAGAATCGGTGCTATTTTGCTGATTCGCCAGCGATTCGCTAGCAATTCGCTGCGTGGGATGACCCTCGGTGTCACTCTCTGAATGCGCACTCTCTGAATGCTCGCTATTATCGTCTGAACTAGCCGTGGCTGAACTAGCCGTGGTTGAACTAGCCGTGGCTAGGCTGGCTGACCTAGCAATGCCTACGCTAGGTGATGCGCCCGGCTGAGCTAGTTTCCAAAGCGAATTCCACGCGGCTCGCTGGCGCCTAGTGAATTTGTAATTTGGACTGGCCCATTCATGCGAAGCCTGCGTACGAGTGAAAAACATCAAAATTTGCTGCCACGGTATGGTATGTCTCTCAATGTTATCGGCATCCATGTAAGCTTGCAATGGCTGATGCGGTAGTCGGTCACGCTCCGTCCGTACGGCCTCGGTGCGAATGGTATGGCTAGTTTTCGTACAAATCAACTGGCTAATTCTAGCGACAGCAGCCATTGCATCCCATATAGCGCTTGCCGCCATTTCCGTCGGATCGGATGAATCGACGTCGGGTGGTTGGACGCAGTCAATAAGGTGCTGTGGGTCGATTCCACGGAGGTAGACGGCCCACCGCGTACGACGGAGCCATGGATTCGCGTCATCGCGCTCGCCAGCTTCAATTAGCTGGGGTAGCTCACTTTCCTCTTTGAAAGCTAGTTCGATTTCATCAATAAGCCGGTCGCCGACCTCGGTCGCGGGCATTGAATCGGCTTCGGCAATGGCATCCGCCCCGAGCGTACGCACCCGAATGTAATGAGATCCTGGCCCCTGGATAAATGCGCGCTGGCATCTAACGACGCGCGTAAATTGCTGAATTTGCTGCTCGGCCGCCGATAAACCTTGCTGCCGCCGACGGCCGCTATAGTGAGCCGGTGCGACCCAGCCATGCTGCTCACGCCAATGCTTACGTATAGTGCTAGCTTTCCTAGCGATAAATTGACAAAACTGACCCTTTTCGCATAAAATGCCATCCGAAAAAACTGGTAAGTTTGCAATTGGGTCATTTACCGCGGTCGGAACTAGCCATTTATCGCATTCTTGCGCGCGCTCGGAGGTCTGAACAGCTTTAGCAATTTGGCGTGCTTTCGGCATTGGAAAGCGATGGTTCGGAGATTGAAAGTGTCGAAAGACCTCTCTCGGTCTAACGACGTGCTGGCATGTCTTACACACGAAGACTGGGTCTATCGAAGGTTGGTAAAAAAATTGGTTTTGCATAATGAAGATGTAGATATAAATCGTACAATAATGAATTGTATGAAATTTGACGAATGTCTAATGCTAACTTCGGGGTGAAATGATGTAAAAGGAAAGTGAGGTAATAGCTAGGAAGCTTCAAAACCCCCTGAATTAATTGCTACCCCTCCTAATCATTATAGACTAGCATTATCGAGGTTGTTCTATTCGTCTAGAGTGCTGTGGTAGCGTCTTAGGTGCTAATCGTTTACCGTAATGGTACACCCCAACAAAACATCTCTAATATTCAATCGCTATTTTCTCGATAACTAGTAGGCTGTACATTCTCCGAAGCAAATGGGAGATATTTCATATAGTCTATTATAACTTATAAAAATTTCAGATCGCTCGGAGTTCATTAGACCTCTGGACCCTGGCGAGGAAATTAACCTGAACTCAGGCGGGGCCCACTTTTTATGTACTATTATCTCCCATAGTGAAGGGTCCGCCAAGACCTGAACTCTGGCAGAGTTCACCACCCCCCGTGGGATAGAGAAAATATCTTCAAATCCAATCAACGCCCGAAGGTATAATGCGGGATGTTATGTACTGGTTGTTGGACGTGGTGGGTGCGGCCATTGCTTCCGTATGGTGTACACGAAGGGGATCAAGGTGGAGACTCGAGAAGATCAGAGACGGGCATCTGAGTTGGGTTCCACCCACGCAAGTTTCTACCGAGGCTCTCCGCAAACCCCACGATACTATCAATGTCAAAGGTGACCCCGGTCGGGCGTTCTCTTTGATGATCCACAGCGAGGCAAATATGGGCGGGAGGAGCGTCAGGCGTGACTGAACTAATCCCGGTATAAATCTCACGCTTTCGTTCTGCACTAGTCTGTCCTGCTAGGTTGTCCTCGCGTCTGGCAATGGTCGTATCGCTGAGAACATCCGGAAAGCCCCCGTCGACCTGAACCTGGTCTATATATTCTCCTAAGCTGATATGCTCGGCGTGCTTGAGTTCGTGCTCACTCTCCTGCTGCGTATGGCACTGGTAGCAGCAACCATGGTGTTGCTGGAGCTGATCAGCAAGTAGTCGGGCGAAGTCGCACATGACATTGGCCACGTTAGGTTCTAGTGTTTCCGGTTGTGCAGATGCCAAACGTTGTAGAGGCGGATCCACCTGCAACGAAGTCTCTGTGGTTTCTAACCTGGGGCTACGCTGATCAGGCCATGTTGGTTGGGTTTCCGGAGATATCGCCCGAAATGGCTCATCAGTTAGGTCAGTGGGCGGAGCTAACGGCCACTCATCGCTTGTAGGCGGGTTGTTATCTGTAGATAAGTCTAGTGGTCTAAGTCCTAGGCTGAGGGGCGGTAGGAGCTGCTCAATGTCCGTAGGAATCGTTAGTTCGCCGGGGGAAAGTAGGTTGGCAAAGCTTCATCGACATAAACGGATGCTGGTATTGTAGTGGGATAATACCGGTCGAATTCTATCGCACGCTCCACAGCACGACCAGATTGTCGCTGGTTTCGCTGTGCTATGATCTTAGCCTCTTGTCTTTGCTCGGCGGATGCATACTTCCGAGGCCGCCCTCGTTTGCGCGTAGGGGCTCGAGGGGAGTCGGGCGCCATAATACTAAAGAAGAACTAGAGTAAGAGCGATGGTAAGCAGATATCGAGCTTACTAGAGTCGAGCCCCAAAATAAGGGGTCAATGACATAAGCATGGAGGGCGGTTCTGATCTATCGAGGCGGTTTATGATCCCTCATATAAATATTGCTTATGGTCCCAAATAGGCTTAGTTTTGAGGAAATAAATCAAAAAGGGTTTAGTTTTGAGGACAAAAACATGAAGCACGATTATGTAACCGTTTTCCCTTCAAAGCTCCAAAAATGGCCAACTTCGATGGGTTGTAACTCCGTGACCGTATAAGTTAAAAGAATTCTGATTGAAGAAATAAAGTGGACTAAGCCCACTGCTCCGTATTGGGGCTTTATTGAGTTAAAAAAGGGCTATGTGGTTGTTGGTCGACTTCCGTTTTCTGCTACTGGTTACCGTAATGGTACACCCCAACAAAACATCTCTAATTTTCAATCGCTATTTTCTCAATAATTACTAGGCTGTGCATGCTCCGAAGCAAATGGGAGATATTTCACATAGTCTATTATAACTCATAAAAATTTTAGACCGATCGGAGTCCATTAGACCTTAGGAGTCAGGCGAGGAAAAGAACCTGGAGTCAGGCGGGACCCACTTTTTATGTCCCATAGTGAAGGGAAAACCCTAACCTGGAGTCTGCCAGACTCCAGCAACCCCCGTGGGATAGAGTGCTGTGGTAGCGTCTTAGGTGCTAATCGTATACCGTAATGGTACACCCCAACAAAACATCTCTAATTTTCAATCGCTATTTTCTCAATAATTACTAGGCTGTGCATGCTCCGAAGCAAACGGGAGATATTTCACATAGTCTATTATAACTCATAAAAATTTTAGACCGATCGGAGTCCATTAGACCTTAGGAGTCAGGCGAGGAAAAGAACCTGGAGTCAGGCGGGACCCACTTTTTATGTCCCATAGTGAAGGGAAAACCCTAACCTGGAGTCTGCCAGACTCCAGCAACCCCCGTGGGATAGGGGCCTCGCAGTCATGGTCATCTATTCCCCAGTCTTCGGTGATATTGAAGTAGTAGGGATCCGTGCAAAATTTGTGCCATGGCTTGGCGTCGATTCTAAACTCCCGAGGACCATAGTACTTCGATCTGGCAGCAAGGCTCGAGTAAGCAGCTGTATCCCCATTCAGAGATGCGACTCGGCGCCCAGCAATATTGACCGTACGTGCATAGTCGTTCATGATCTCGAACTTCACAGGCTGAGAGAGAATGTGCTCATAAATTTGTTGACTGCCGTTGCTGCTTTTCTGCATGCTTGCGTAGCCAGCCTCCTCTGCGACATGGACCTCCGGAAGAGGATCAAGCTCTTGATACAGATCAAAATATCCTGCGACGGCACAGGCACGAGCGGCATGGTAGAGCATATCCGGGTATCGTTGAACCAGAGCTCGGAGAGTATCCTCTTTCGGGACTTCGGGATACCAGATACAATAAGGTGTCTCTTCAGGCTGCGAGATGATTGGTATGATACCGCTCATGATATCCCGGGCATTCAGGGCGCGCGTGAACTCTGGAGTAACTCCACGGAGCTCCTGGGCAAAGCCATAATGATGTCGTATGCCGTGAATAGTGCACAGTCGATGAACCTGCTCGCCCATATACTTTGGAATTCGAGATCCGTGAATTGCGTCCTTGCAATCCTCTGCATCGTACTTGGCAATTGCCAGTCTCTTTTCCATCGGCAGCTGGTCCGGGTTGTTGTCCGGCTTGGCCATGGTGTCAATGAGATGCCTAGGTGGAGGATCAGATAACCTGAAAGGATTGGAAAGTTGGGCACGAGTGCGGGGGAAGTGAGTAGGTTAGATAAATCCGCGAGCGAGATACCTGGTGGACTCCGAGTCGGAGTAATAAAAGTAATAAAACATTCTTGGATACCGCTAAGAGTAAGTGGGGCGGGGGCGCTTGGCCCCCAGCGGGCCATCGAGTTTCTAGTGGTGCTGATCTATCAATATTAGGAACCAGGTTTCAGAGACCCGGGATTCAGGTATGAGAGTCTCGGAGTAGGATTTAATTTGCATTTAACGACTTTAAAATTTCGAGCCATAATAATGTATTGACCGTCCGTTCCTGAGGTCGTTATTATCAAGAGACTCCAAGCATTTGCTTAGGGCTTAGTAGTTTTTTTATCCATTGGCGAGCAACCCCGGTCGGGTTTCGTGCCAGGAGTCACCGCCCGGGCGACTCATTTGACTCTTCCCCACCATTGCTCACGACGAATCAACGGGTCGCCGGTCTAACAATCTGTCGCGATTCGATATCATCGTCGCTACGTGACCCTCCACCAACACCAACCAATTTTGCAACATTCCTCTACCGACGCCAGGTATTACACGTCGAGGAGAGTGTTATTTTCTCAACTTAGTTACCCAAGTTGAAACTCGCAGGGTGACGAGAAGTTGCCCGTAAGTTACACGCTTTACCATCCTGAGTGGACAGTCGACGAAAGTGCCCAAAGAAAGGCATTGGAGAAATTATTATGATAAAGCAGTTGTTTGTCGACTCTGACAAGAAGCCCAAACGCTACGTATGCCATTATTACCGGAAAGTGTCGCAACCTCAACGGTACAGACACCGTTTGCAAGTCAAGCGGCCGCCAGACCAACAGTACCAGAAGCTATTTGTTTTCAGAATACGATTAATTAAAACAAAAAAAGTGTTTGAATTGCGTCCAAGGCATATTATGTCTTCTCCTAACTTGTGGGCGCCTACCTCTCTGATATCTTCAGTATCCCGCAGAGTAATTCACAGGTTCGCCGTTTATAATCAGGATCTCATTTCTTGCTAAGCTTGCTCCAAATTTCTGTATCAATGCTACAGTCTCTGATAGATGCTCTAAATGCCCTATTTCTAATTCGTCCTATGCCTGCTGAGCAGTAGCTACCAAAATATCCTTTGTCTTATCGTTATTTAGTATATACAGTAGATCTAGACGAAGCTCATATATTTTCGCTTTTAGCAACGCCTATAGATTCTCAATTAGGTTCAAATCAGGTGAATAAGGAGGCTATTCTATTACCTTAATATCTATATTAGCTAAGGCACTTCGGACGATAGACGCGGTATATGTTAGAGCATTATTATGCTAAAAGATACTATCCTAATTCGATATCAAGGTAGGTAAAATTTAACGGTATAATTCTTTAATCACAAGGCTAGTAACACCACGACGCTCTACTTTAGGATTGCTAAAGAGCGGGATAAGCCCCGTATGCCTAGCTACACCACAAAATACAGCCTAAAATATCTGCTTAACTTGCTTTCCTCGGGAAGGTAATCCTTGACATTGACCCTATCTTAGCTAATCACAAGGACGTATAAAAGTCTATTCGCGGCGTACGCCAATGCCTCGCTCAACCGTACATTCGTCGGACCAAAAGACTCGTGCCCAATCCTCGGGTGTAAAGTGTCGATATTGGAAAGCCTAACGGAGGCGTTTGTCAGGACCTCTACCTGACTGAGGATGTTGACTCGGCTTGAGGCATCGAATGGATGCCTTAGGGCTCTCAGAAGATAAGTTATAGAAATGATGCCCTAAGAGAGGGTCTCACCGCCCTCGACTAGGCTAGTCTGTATATAAGCATTTCTCGCTGGGCCGTGGAACGGACTAGCGTTCAGTCTCTTCATACAATACACCCTATTGTAATACACGCATAACTAGGCCATCTACCTCGCTTACCTACCTAAACCTAGAGAATGCATGCGTGGTCTCACAGATATTGAGGATGTTGCCGCAGTCGACTTTCGCATTCACTAGGTCGCGGCGAAGTCCCTCGGAGTCCGTACGGAAGCACTATTATAGTCTAAAGTTCGAGGTTCGCTACACCGAACACTCGTCCGAGAAGATCCACGATTAGAAGCTTTCACGCCGCCATTTTCGCGCAAATCTTAGCCGTTTCCTTGCAAGAGAAGTTTTAATTGGTATCTTCCTTTTCGAACGCTGTTTTCCGAGTCCAAGTCGCTCCAAAATCCGCCGTATTGTAGAGGCGAAGGGGTGGCCGGGTGTCGTAGCACTTAGCTATTCATAGGTCTAAAACGGGTGCGGACGGGTCTAAAGATATAAATAGTGTAAAGCCCGTTAGCTAATAATAGGCGTACGGCCAGTTTTTTTCACGATTCTCGTGGGTGCTATCTTCGTGGTAGCTCTTAAGCGTATTATAGATTGTCTTACGAGAACAGCCGAAATCATTAGCTAATTTCACCTACGAAATACCACTCATATAAACAGATGAAATAGCTGACCTTTGTAGAATAGTAAACTACGCCGTTTTGCTATTTTTTGCACCAATTTTTATTGCAATCGGAGCAATAGGGGAGGTGTAGGAAGAAAAATAAAAAGGTGGGTTGGTTGCCGGGTCAAATGTAAGTGGGGTACTGGGTAAGAACATATGACTAGTATCTGTACACGGATATATATAGTTGCTGCAGCCCGCATATCGCTTTGCGAGGGGTCGAGTTAAATGAGTTCTAGTACTACTACTGCTGCTATATGCTAGGTGTATGCCAGTGGATCTTGGTAAGGTTCGGGAAGTACTAAAAGAGTATGGGTGGACGCCGTTTCAAGGAAGTGCTGTAACAAATCTATCTCTTTCTCTTCTTATAACTCACTTTCATGCCCCTGCATTTCAACGTTTCAGGGCCGATGCGCGGGACGCGTGTCTTCCAGTTCAATACCACGATACGGCAAAGCAGGGGTTGGGCCTTCCAGATCCGCGCGGCTTCCACAATCAGCCCAAAATTCTATAGGCACTCGCGGACACCTTGTTACCGTAGTCATTGTAGCTATTCCTTGGCTTAAGGACCAGCATCGTCCTCTCGGTTCTTAGCTGAGATCAGAACTGTTAACTTGCTAAGGGAGACCCAGCTAGATACCGATTCACCGGCTGCGTCTTCTCGTCTACGCTGGCTATCTGGCGTGTGTGTGAGAAGCTCCAGCCGTATCAACACAAAAGCGATAAGGATACAGAGCAAACCTGTTGCCCGTAGGGCATACAAAGGAACATTGGTATGATGAACTCAACGACAATTTAACAAATAGCTAACTGAACTTACTTGAAATTACACCAGGTGCATTATTTCGGAAAATGCCCTTCATGGTTGGTGACCAGGCGAAGAAGAATGAGTCTCCTCACGCATTAGATAGCCAATCTTGTGCTTGAGAATCAAGATAGTTGTTTCAATAACTACCACCAATTGGATAGATGTGGCAACCCAAGATAACTTAGACAAATAATCGTTATGTCTAGCAGAAATTCCGTAAGGATTGCCGTCATTATTGATCAGATAGACAAATTCCGACCCAATGATAGATGCCATAGTCGAAGCAGCACCAATACAAAAGGTACTTAGCTGAATTCAGAATTGGGTCAGAAGAGCTTCGCGTTAAATTTCGAAGTAGTTAAGCTTACTATAAGGCTGAATAATTCCACTGTTGATAGAGGGGCATTATGATGGTTTGCAAGGAGGCTTGGGTACACTGGATAGACCCGTGCTGGGGCAGTGAGTAACTGCTGGCCCGAATGGCCCCGCTGGATCTCGTTCGCCCAGAAATAGGTAGAGAGTCCCAAGGTACCAAGAGCAGTAAGGTAGAATATTGACATAAGCCTGCGTGTCGGAGCTAATGCAGTTAAACGCGTCATGACATACTCAGACTCCGGAATATCATGAAATGCTAGCGAATCCTTCAGTGCACTTTCTAGATTCAAGGTGGTGGTAAAAGGGGCCAGGTCTTTGAACGAATGTGACCAAGAGGTTTCCGTTATTGCTTGGCGATTTGAAAGTTTTTGAGATCCTCGACAGAACGACATCACGTGGATGGAAAGTAGCGGATGCAAATCGTCACGAGCAGGAAGATGTATCTGACGAAATGTTTAGAAGCTATCTTCGGCAGCAAATTTAGACCATATTGACCTACTGTCACAATGCCTGATCCTTGTAGAAATCCTGGCTAACCGGCTACGACACAAATGAGGACAAGGATGAAAGCCATAAGCGTGGCGGCACCTCTTAGGGCCCAGATAAGGGCCATTGGCCCTAATGCAGTCGGTATGTATTGGATTTTGTCGACTGGGTAGACGAGTGCTTTTCTATAGATTCTAGGAACGAGAAATGCCAGTCCCGCTTTTGAAAGTTACGTTGGGGCCTCACTTGAAAAGAATACTACCAAAATGTGTGCGCTCCGATGAAACATGTACAGTAACAAAACGGGATACGTTGGATATTATGGAAGGCCTCTTCGACAAATGCCACGTAATCATGTACCTCATCCCTACATTTTCCTAGTGCACGCCACATAACGGGACTAGGGTGCATGAAGAATGCCCTAAGTCAAATAGGCGTCCATTATTGAGAGACAATTTGGGTCATTCTTTAGATCTGCCAGAATTTGACCAAGAATTTGTCTTCCCTGTCCAAGGTTCTTGCGATCCTGCATGACATAGGTTCCGAGTCTTGGCTGAATCAACATGATGGCTGAAGCTTTTCACTATCCCATTTCGCAAATAATCTGGGGCGCTGTAATGATATGAGCTGGTGTGGGAAGGCGTGGGTATGTAACTGGTGATACTGTAAGAAAAATAAATAGATTAAAAATTCGTCCGTAACGATAAAGAGTAAAGCCAGCCATATGCTATATGCTAGGGCGGTGATCAGCAGCATGTTAAATCTTACTTCACAGTCTCGATTTTTTACATTGCATATTTCCAGTTTTCAATCTTAT